AGAAGGTTGCTTTCCGCCCGTGGGCGGAAAGCAACCTTCTCTCGGCGGCTATGTAGGGTGGCCGGCTATATTAAAATAACGCGTTAAAAACTCTTTTCCACCGCCGCGGGGCCTGCACAGGAGGCTAAAGCTGGACCCTCTATGGCCGACCAACTCCCCTAGCCAATGATGTTCCCCATAGCCGATTTCTACTATTTATTCAGCCTGCAAAGGAAGGAGTCTGGTGGAGACTAGGAGTTACAGTTGGTGTGTGTAAAACAAAGACTGGCCTAGGCGTCGACGTCTGTCCTACGATCCCATACCATGAGAAAACAATCTTACTACAATCAATTGTACTAAAATCAAAGAACCCACATATCATAGAATTAGAAGTGGATTAATTCGTCTTCCAGTTCCACTGCCTCAAAAGAAGAAGTCTAACCCAGCAAACCTAGTACCATGTATGTTGTAGAACCTAGTACCATGTATGTTGTAGAACCTAGTCACCATGTATGTTGTAGAATTTAGTATAATGTTAGACGTAGTCTCTCACACTATTGTATGTTCTTTTTACATACATGTTGTTTGTAACCTGCATTTAGCCCTCGAGCAAGTATTTGCAATAAACTTTCATTTATTTAGAAGGAGAAACGCTCAACATGACGAAAACAGGCCTAGTCCTAGCACACGGCTCCTCCACACTCTCCAAGCAGAGGTTTTGGTTTGGGGTTATTTTTGGCGTTATTTTAGGCTTTTTTATCGGGGTTTCTTTTTTGCACTAGAATTTTTTTCACCCAACCCATTTTTTATATTTTTTTAAATTTTTTTAACAATCTTCATTCAGATTCAAGATACATAACAATAACGTTGGAAACGAGACAAACTGATACATGAACATGAAACGGATAAACAATTATGGTACAGTAACAAATCTACAGAAAAACGCTAAACCCATAGCTAAATTATCTACTCAAATGAAGAGTACAATTTCCCCCACTTATCCATGTGTTTTGATACTTCCCTTCTTCTTCTTGCAATATTAATTGCCAAATCAAGAAAATATTTGACAAAAGATACAAAGTTCGACAATTTTTGACAACCCATTTTGTTGGATTGGGTGAAAAAAATTCCAGTGCAAAAAAGAAATCCCGATAAAAAGCCTAAAAACACGCCAAAAATAGCCCAAAACCTCTGCTTGAAGAGTACACGCTAACCGAGTTGGCACCATGGCTCCCCGGCTCTAATTATCTCATCGCTGACCAATCAGCGCAAGGCTGTAAAATCGCTGCCAGCTGCGCCAGTGGTCTGGTTTTACGCTCAGATACTGAGCGTTCGAGCGGCCGGGCCATCCTAGGGCCATCCGAACCCACCAAACTCTGGTGTCATAGATAAAGGGCTTGGGCGGCAACAACCTCTGATGGGGGCTGTCTGTCACAGTGTGGTGATTTACGAACACAGGAAGACAAATACACCATGCCTATCTGATTTCTCCTAGTGAGCGGACCACTTCTTCCCGAGCTGGTACCCTGGACGTCAGAGGGACGCACTGCGTGGCTGGAGGCAGTCTACCCGGACCTGCAAGCCCCGAAAACAACGCGAACGGGTCTTCGGTGAGTACGACAAAGCGAATGGAGCTTGGGTGCCAGACTGTTTACTTTTCAGGGCCACACACACACAGTGCACACATACATACATACACACACACACACACACACACACATGTACACACACACACACACACACACACACGCAGATGCAGACGCGCGCGCACGTACACAGATGCACACGCACAGACGCGCGCGCACGTAAACAGATGCACACGCACAGACGCGCGTGCGCGCGCGCGCACACACACACACACACACACACACACACACACACACACACACACACACACACACACACACACACACACACACACGTTGACACAGAAGGGTCAGGCGGAGACCACTGCAAATGTTTCTTCATATTAACACATGATGGGTACACGTGAATATTGACTTTTGGTGGAAAAAGCAAAGGAATACAGGCTATGGGGCTGGCAATACTCTCCAAGCAGAGGTAGGTTTTTTTTTTGGTCTTGACCAAAAAAAAAACCCGTAAAAGTAGAAAGACGTATTAAAAACGCGAAAATACTGCCAAAATACCGAGCGACCCTACCTCTGCTTGGAGAGTAGGCTGGCAAGTCCATAAAATAGAAATGCATATACCATTATTACATTAATAAATCCCCAAATTTAGACTAGGAATTTAGACTGTTCCAATACATTTACATATGATTGCTTCTCCTACAGGTAGCCGAAATGTTCTGATCATCCAAGAAGATGTCATCCAACGGTGGAAATCCGGTAGAAACTGCGAAAGACAAAACCAAGCTTAACGGCAGCATCTCTACGGCACGGATGGAATCCAGTACACACCATCAGCTACATGTAGACGAAGGACGAGACAACTCAAATACAATCAAGCCAAAGAAGCGTCCAAGCAGTTTACTGAAACTTCGAATAGCAGACCTCGAGGGAAATCAACATGAGCGGATGGATAAGGACGCCGAAGATCAGGCGACGCACAAAGAGCATCCCAGAGCAGGACGGGCGACATTGCATCATGATCAAGAACACAACAACAACACACAGCCACCAGAAACTTCAGAGACTCTTTCAACTAATTCCAATGAAAGAATGAATGCCCAGCTGCATGATGCCCACCTGACACAAAGATATGCTGGGACTTTCTGCTTACGAAATCCATGTAAGAAAGAGCTGAGTGGCCATGAACGAGCATCAGTGCGTAAGCATGGCTTGAAGTATATTTCTTGCTTGCCTGTACGATGCATTGATCTTGACGGGAAGAGGTATTGTTTCTTATCCGATGTTCATCGGTTGGTTCCACATAAACGAAAGAACGACATTGTAAAGGTTTGTCGCGCACTCGGTCTACATACCAGATCTGATAGAGTCGAGGTTAAAGACAGAGCGACATTGTTAAAGATCTTAAAAGTTGTGATGGGCCTTCCAAATGACCACTCTCCGGCGACCTCAGCACAGGAGAGTGCAGATGGATTCTCTACGTCTTCAAAGCAGGAACCTGAAGGTACAGGCGTACTCCAGCCACAATGCGATGTGAACCCTGACAAGCATCTTTCCGTATCTGGCCAGAGTAAACAACATCTGGATGGAGGAATCATCTCTGTTGGCAAGTCACACTCAAAAGTACCATGGCTGTACCACCAGCAAGTAGAAATGGTGACCGTCGGTGACGTGGAATCGGAGATTCCGGCTGCCAGTCTGGACGGCGTGCAGCGATACGAGATGCCGCCCTGGGGTCCAGAGGTTAGTACTAATGAGGATTGTCCTATCTTCGCAAGCCAATAGACTATGACATCCTTACCACTTACGTTTGTGTATAACTTTGTATCGGTATCCACCTTGTCCTAGCAGCATCAGTATCATTTTTACACAGTTGTACAACGTCAACCAACGGGAAAGCACTCCAGTAGTTGGCAGAGTATTCTTGTTAAGATAAAGGGTTTACCATAAAATTTCTGCTTTGCTTAAGTCTTCTAACTAATAATTGGTGCTACAGATTTGTACAAGGTTTAGGGAGTGGCAGCATAGAGAAGGTTGACATTTTGTATTTTATATATCAACAGGTGTTGAACAGGTACGCTGCAACAGCCGGTCTCAAGCAAGTGTACCACAGCAACCAGCAGCTCGTGCCTCTGAGAGGTCTGGATGTCAGAGCACGAACATCTGGGCCCAGTTATGTCTCCGACATTGCACACGAGGGAAATGACGAACACATGGAGAATGATGAGAGTGCGGCTGTAATGCACAGTCCTTTGTCTCGCACAGGGCATTCAGAAGATGTTTCAGAAGATCCTTCACATGAGGTCGAGAAGAACGAAGTCGATTGTGAAGAGAGCATGGATGTGGCGGCACCAAACACCGATGTGACAAGCGAAGACAACGCCAGTTCCAGCCCAACGCTTTGTGACAGAAACCCTGAACCCCATTGCTTGGCAGATCCAGGGGATGTCTGCAACGAGAACGAGCACGTGACTGGGGAACCTGACTTCTGCAATGTAAAGAAGGAGGAGGTCTTAGACGACCTAGCACCATGTAGGTACATGCATCAAGCAGAGGAGACGTACAGATCGCGGCATGGAAGCATTGAACGAAAGACGCCAGATACTGAAGACGTGCCAACACCACAAAGTCAAACACGAGAGACGACGGCTTGGGAAGATCTCATTTGTATTTCTAGCTGCTGGAGTGCGGTCTCTGACAAGCCAGCAGTAGCCCCGGTTGAACTACAACCGCCACAGACTGTAGTTTCAGAAAGAGAAGACTTGAAACATGAATTGAAATGGGAGACCGTCGCCGAAGGTCCTCCAATTCCAGTTGTGGAGAGGGATGGGTCGCGCTACGTCCTTACTTCTGACGTGTCATCTCTGCTTCGGGGTGTGGACGCTGGGGAGTTTATGGACGCCCTTACTATTTTAGAGCTCAGCATTATCCCCTGCAGTCCGGAGGTTGGCAAGTGTTTTGCAGATGAAGCTGGAAAACCGATGGAACAGTGCCGAAGCATGGTGAAACTGAACATGACATTGGGGGCTACGGTGAAGATGCTTCTCATGATTTTCAAGCAAAGCAGTTCGGGGAAATCCGGTGGTGGTCCACATGGTAACAAAACACAGACTTCGGCGGATAAGCCCTTGTCTGAAGGGCGTACCTCCCCAATGACAACTGACCGCCCAATTTCAAGAACGTCCACCACTTCCGTGAGAAGTGATGAGACTTCTTTGCAAAGCAACCCTTTGGCATCACCTGGAAATAATGCGTATTCAGAACCTCAACAAAACCAAGCAGGAGACACCCAGCCTATGTGCATGCCTGATTTACCGATGCATCAGCGATACAGGCCATGGGAAATGTGCAACAACAGTGCAAGCTCAGAGCCTCGACAAAGCCATGCTAGAAGTTTAGCCTCACCGCCAGAACCAAGCAACCACTTCTCCCCACCCTTACCAAGAGGAGACACCTTATCGGCAGCAAATCCATTTGACCAGCCTCAGCAGGGTAGGAGAAATGCCAACAACGTTCGGAGCTTGCCAACAGTGTCCTCACCAACGAGTCATCAGCACGTGATGCGATCCAGCAGCTTCGTGGACAGGGCAGATGTACCTGTTCGTCCTCAAAGTCATTCACATGCAGTGTCTAACCGTGAGTTCGTTCCACCCCGTCTCCATACATCGCCCGGCTGTAGCCTCCAAGTCAACCATTCAGCCTTTGTCCCGTATGCACGAGCGCAGCATCGAGATGTGGTATCAACCATACTTTATCCCAGACACCACCTACAGACCTTGCTGTCTTCCCATGGCCATGGCCATCCACTCTCTCCTACCGCCCAAGATCAATTGATGTGGGCCAGGCAACTAACTCCTCCAACATCGAGAGATACTCCCCCACCGTACTCTGTCCATCATCTGCACAACGTGCCTTCGACAGCCCGTCACAGAAGTGCCGACAACCAAGCACCATCACATCGACTGCCGTGAGACAATGGTTCCGCAAGATACGTTATATTTACATTTTGACACGTACGAATAAACGAGTGCAAATTTTGGACATAGGGACACGCAGGAAAGGAAGCATACGCACGCTGTAATCAAAGCCTTGTGTCAGGTCGTGATTTGATGTCTTTGGTGTTAGAAGTTTGTGACATGAACCCGATATTCCGTCCAGAAAAAAGACTATAGACACACAATTCGTTACACATTCCCAGTCTATCATTGTGCTATTGGAAGATTCCATGCTCAGTCAGCATTTCTTGGTTAGAGTCGGGAGAAAGAGAAGCAATCATTCGCAGCTTTGACGACTTAAGACATGATTTTCGTCCTACCATTCCCCCGAGCCTTTTCAACATTTCAGGAGGTCTCATGACCTCACACAAGAAGTGACATACGTCGTCGCATGGCTTAGATGTTTGGTTATGGATTTTGTAGCGGTTAATTAAAAGTCGACTGCTGTTTATTTGTTGGTGTCACAGGTCTAGAAAAAACGATAGAAATTTTGTTGAGAAGCAATCAAGAACTTTATGTAGATTCTGAATGCTGATCTACTTCATTGTTGTTACTAACCTGATCTTGTTTTGCCTTAAAGTTCGACAGTTGTTATTTACATTAACCAAAAATTTTCATATTCTAAAAGCACAGCACGTTCGCTTTGTGTAGTTCCATATAGTTTCATTGTAATACATAGATTAGACAAAGGGTTTGTTAGCTACTTTTGACTAGCATCCTTCGCAGTCTTGTTGGGCGTCGGCGTTATTTTATCTGTGAGCGACGCGAGTAATATGCCGCCGCGAGTGGCGAGGGACGATTTGCTGCCGAGGGAGTTTTTGCCGCCGAGAGAAGGATTCGCGCTCTAACTCCTTCTCTCGGCGGCAAAAACTCCCTCGGCAGCAAATCGTCCCTCGCGGCGGCATATTACTCGCGTCGCTCACAGAAAAAATAACGCTGACGCCCAACAAGACTGCGAAGGAGGCTAACTTTTGACTACCTGAACTAACAAATATCTTGTTCTTGTTACACAGCAGCCAGCAACACAAAACACAGTTGCTTTTTATTTCGTTCAAGTCTCTCAATCATGTATGTACGTACGTATCTATACAGCAATCCTGGCTTGTATTGTGTGGCTTAAGATTTTACCTAACTTTTAACTCCTTGTTGTTGAAAAGATAAAAGTCCAAAATGATGTGTATGCGGAAAAATCATAATACACATTCACTATGACTTCGATTGTATTTTTGTTTTATATTGTTACAGAAGTTCGCTAAGTTACTAGTACCTACGGAAAATAGCCAACCCCCTTACAATACCAACAAGTCCTGACTATCTCCCGGTGTAGCCACATGTTCTAACCAGTCTAAGGCGGCCCATTGTTTGTCCCGACTATGTTGCAGTATTCTGAAGGTATATTTTCATAGGGAGGCTTCTAGACTGTATTTTTGGCAGTGTGCCTGCGCTAAAGAGTCAAAAGAAAGGTCGCTCTTCTAGAATTAGTGATCGATCATTATCTGAGGTCTGGATGATATAAATGTATTCCAAAATGTGAAATGCCAAAGTCTATCCCGTATGTCAAGTATAAGATGATGCACAAACTGCATCACCGAAAGGATGAATACTCGGCACACGCTTTTCACATTTGTTCTGCTATCGTGTAACTTGTATTTTCTCAAGATTCATTGGATGGAGGCAGTTATCACTTGCAATACTAGTACCTAAAACAAAAGCCTTTTCAACTGACTAACGTTGCTAGTACGTAATAAGGTGTTTCATCTTATGCGTTGGTCGCCTTTCCGGCATCGCAGCCGCCGTACACCTCGTCTGGAAAAGGCAACAGTCGTTTCAACTTCAACACAAACGCTTTCCTGTACCCACAGCCGGGTACTCCGGCCAGACAGTCCCACACGCCTCTGGAGGGGGTACAGCGCTGGGTCGTCACCCTCCCCACAAAGAAGATGTCTCCGTCGTAGACGACATGGTCAAAACGGTTCTTGCTGTAACCTCCTCCCATTGGCCGCATCATAGTGTACCACTCTCCTTCGGTAAGAGAGAGGGAGAGAGAGAGAGAAAACAGTAAACACATAGATTGGCACGTTCTATGACAAAGTCGATTGGGTTATATTGTCGCTTAGAAATAATTCAACCCAAACACTGAGCAAATGTTTGAGCTGAAAATATAGGTATACTTAAAACCCCTAACGCAACAGCAACAGACATCAAACCACCCACCGCTGGTGATGTTATAACTCTTGATAGCATGGCTGCCGATCAGAACGACGAAGTCTGCAAAGGACACCATGTCGCTGTCACACTGCAGTCTGTAGGGGATCTTCCCCAGGTCCGTCCACTCGCCCTGCCCCGTGCAGTACTTCAGCAGTCTACCGGGACTCATGAACCGAGCCGAGCTCTCTGCGACATAGATGTCTCCCATGCAAGCTGTTGCGGCCTCGGGTGTCACAGGTCTCGGCAGGGGTGTGACGAAGGCCCAAGAGTCGTCCTTAGGATCGTACCTTTCCACTGTGAACAGATCCGCTTCAGCCTTCCCACCAATGGCGTATAAGTGTGTATCGGTAGCTGCCAGAGTAAACGCGGCTCTCGCTTGTTGTAAAGGTTTGATTTCGTGCCATTGCCGTGTCATGGGATCGAAACGAAACCCGGAGCTGACGGCCTGTCCAGTGGACCCGTCGGTGCCTGTATACCCTCCCACAATGTACAGGTTGTTGTCCAATACGGCAGCTCCGAATGAAGACTTTGGTACCCTGGAGTCAACTGTTTTATAAGGTCTGAAAACATCGTCTTTGTCGTCATGGTAATAAAGATGCCGCGTTCTTCTTGGTGTATCTGCACTTGCCTCGTCGTACACAACTATGGCGCAGATATAACTTTTGATGCTCTTCCTAAGTTCTCGCACCCGTTTCTGCTGCTCTTCTGTCAGCCTTTCATATTGTCCCTTTCTAAATATATCGAAATAATTATCTACCAAGAAACTGTAGGCAGCTTCCTCCAGGTCATCAATACAGTATATCTCCGCAATGTTAAGCACATCAACACAGGTGTGTGCGTCCAGGTGTGACTTGACGTAATCCATGGCTTTCTGTACCTGTAGAAAATTTGCCGTAGCTATGAAGTCCTCGATGTCTGTGTCCTTTAATGAGAGCTGTGATGTTTGGAGCAGATTTACCAGAGCCCGTACACTTGATGACGACAGCCCGTGCAGCTGGACGAACTTCTGACAGTTTTCCCTCATCCCTGAGGAGAACATCGCCCGGAAGTAGTTGCTTGACCTTACAAGCATGTCCCTATCCACCGGGATTCTTTTGTCTTCAACCATCAGGAAGAAGTCCAGGTTGCCGCCAGGGTTGAGGCTTTCATCTTGCGAATCCATCTATTAGATCATAGTAATAAAACCGTTACACGCCTCCCTAGTAATTATGATAAACCATCTCATATATTTCCGAGTTCCAAGGCTGAATTCCAATGTATTATAGGTCAAATGCCAACATACATTACCTAAGGATATCCATTGTAGATAATCAATACGGTGTCTCAATAAGAAGACAACACAACAGCTAGAAATCGTGCACAAACAGCCTTGTTCGGTGTTTGTTTACTCCTGAAAAGATCTTCTAACCTTAACCGCGGCACGGCTTATTGATGATGCCGTATTTATCACGGAGCATGTCTATATGCGATAAGAACTTGGAGGGTCGATATCTCAAGACGTGTTACGAAATGGTAAAGCATCGTGTTGTGGTGAGCGTTTTCATGACTATAGACTGCACATAATCACATCGTTGTGCAGGCAGTCTCCCCACCAGTCCATGCATTAATCTAAAATTTTGAGCTACGTTGGTAATCAGTTCCTCAAACGTGTGCTACTAGTCGTACTTGCAGTTTCAGAGCGGCGATGTCGGCTGTTGCTTGATGGAAGGACCGGCCGGTTTATTCCCAAAGTCTCTCTGTAACAGACATTAGATGACTCCGCAGTGCTGCGTCATTCACCCGGCTGCCATGTTCATACGTCATCGCCGTCTAGAGTTGTACCCAAATATAGCGCACGGCTGGCAGGGGTCGGTTGCGCGCTACTGTTAGAATATAGCAATGGCACAGTCTGAAAAACTTTGTCGAAGATAGTAAATACTGATGTACTGTAGATCGTAGATACGGTATCTATGGTCTTATATTTTTTATCAACATTCAGGCACGTTGGAAGAAGATTAAAATACGATTATTCACACGTAATTTTGTACTCGCAATAGCGAAACCTGCTTGAATTCGTCGACAGCATCTCAGGCCCTAATCCTAACCAAGTAATATAACCTGTCACGACATTCCGTCGAGTCATTTGACTCGTGCAGGCCAATCACACTATTGGCCCATTATATTGAAATTTGTTACTATGCCACGCCCATACGTTTCCGCCGAAATTCCTGTGCCGCTTCCGGTGCTTCACCCTTTGAAAGATTTCTTATTTGATTTTTTAGAAACTACAACAAGGTCCAAATACCACTACAATCCATCAATAGCCTCTTAATTATAGCTTTCCGAAATGTATCCGTTTATCTGGAAAGATAGACAGGGACAGACACATCGAAAACATTATATCCATGTTCACGCAGTGTGTGTTTGCGTGTGTTTAATGATTGGTTTATTGGTTGAACGCTTTTTTAGCCATGAGTTATATGAAGAGTGGTAGTCATCCCCCACCTCACACAGTTGACTCTGTCCTTGGTGCTGAATGGGGGTCCAGTCAAAGAGTTCCCATGAAATAAAAACCAACCATTCCAAGTTGCCATTCCAACTACGTAAGGACATTAGAAAAGGCTGAATTCTGAATAATTATAAGTTGGTGATGGCACTCATATCAATCATATGTTTTTGACTACAGACAATGCCTAGCAGGTAGAGGCAACGTGCATTACCCTGCCCCATATTTCAGGTTACTGCAGAGAGAATGCCTGCACTAAAACCACCCTGCTCACTTGTGTTCCTTCTCTAATAAACTGTCGTCATGTTAACCTTATGAAGGAAAGCAAAAATAACAACTTACACATGTAACTGTTCTCTGGAAATTATTTACTAAGATCAAGATGTTTTTATTTTTCTCACCAACCGTCTCATCAAAATCATATTAGATGCATTACTAACTGCATGTATAACTTCCCTCTAACTACAGCTGGATAAATTACATGAGTTACATATGTTAGTAGAGTGAATCTTGCAGTGATAAACAAAAACAATTTTGTAATGTTTAAAAATATTGGAGTAAACACATTAATACTGGATCAACTCTGATATCCGATATAAAAGAGGGCAACAAATATTTACTATCTCACAACAGGTCTTTCTCTTTTCACATCTACTGATTTTACTAAGCCTTTCCCAAGGGAGTGGAAGTCTTCCAAAATGGCTGCCACGTTCGGAATCATCATCAGGTCCTCTCCTGATTGGTCAAGGTCAGGGGCACGGCCGTTCAAGGTCGTAACCTATAAATAGAAGGGCAAGAATAACAGTTTGAGTTGATATCAAAAATGAATGTCAATCATCTACAGCTTTTAAAATTACTTCATGTATTTCAAACTTTATAATGGAAAAGAAGTGAAATATTGTGCCCAAAATCAATGCTGGAAAGGCATGAAGCTCATTTTCAAAAAATCATTGGCAAAGTTTCTACATAAGGCCACTACAATCTTTCTACTATCAACAGTTGGGAATACATGCATGTTGTGATCAAACACAATAAGACCATGATTGAGCATATAGAGATGTACAAATCTGCAACCTTGAATGGTTTGGATGTGAATGCAGGAGGTTTCCACAATACTGTGATGTAAAGACCTCCACAGGGGTCATGGAAAAACAGTGCCATGTCTCCATATGTGTCCTGCAAAATAACAACAATCATTGCAGATTTACCAAATCAATGTAATTGAAATTTCTGAAAAAGAAGTATAAGTAATTATAAAACTGATTTAAAATGTTTAAAGATGCTTTAGGTTTATGAGGTTAAGTACAAAATGTATGTACAATAAGCATAACATTCATGACCCAGGCTACACTACTAGTAACTAGTCTAAGCACTCTTGTTCATGTTACATGTTACATGCAATCCCACAAAACAGTGACTAAAAAAACATTCTTAAAATGTAACACACCAGACTTAGGGTTGATCCACTCACACTGGAAGAGGCCCCTGCTTTTATTGGTAAGAGTGGTGGATTCTCTAATGTGTTCAAGGTGTGGCCTTTCTCAACACTGGACATCTGCTTCATGTTCCAGATTACCAAGCTATGTACTCACTGTCAAGTGAGGATATTTGTGTTTTGATAAGATACAAAAATGTAGTCTTTCTCAAGGGTAAAACATTGGAACCTGCCAAAAATTTGAATACAGAACTGCTAGATCCCATTTTAATAGCACTAACCGAAAGGTCACCATATATGCGCGAATTAAAAAAGTCCAAAATTTTGTGAATTCTTAAGATACCTCTAGTTCCTCAAGATACATGTGGACTGGATCAAAGTCTACCACGGGGAGGATCTCTTTGCCACCCTGTCCCACCCCCTCATCAGTTAGTATGTCCCTGCAGTCTTTGAGTTTCAGGTAGTCCACCCCCTCTGACCGACGTGGAACATTCCATGGATTGAGGTGGATGATGACGTCGTAAATGTCGACAGGAGGCCGGAATGCTTGCTGACAGAGGTAACAGGAACAATGTCATTGTTAGACCCATGAATATACCCTGGGTATACATGGTACAGGTGTAGCAGGCCAGAATGTACCCTGGCCAGAATTACCCGGGTATATTTCAGGCAGGGGTATATTCCAGCCTGCTACACCAGTACAGTATGTGCTTGTGCTGCCTGGATGGGGTCAGAGGAATATTGGAAGCATAATTTTATGCAGGAAATATTGCATTACTCACCAGTGACATCCAAACGTAGATATTTCAAATCTTGAAAATGGTGATGGTGGTTCTATTTTCCAAGCTTTCTAGATTAGACACCAAGAACAGTCCTGTGACCTAACACATGCAATGTGCACCCTTTACTCATTAGCCTATAGCTGCAGTAAAACATGTACCTTGAAGTCTGCTCCGTCTGAAGTTGTCAGCATCTGGAGCTCAAGCATCTTCAAGGCTTCCTGGGATAGGGAGATTAGCCTCTGGAGAATCTAAACATGGAAATAAACAACACATCAAAAATGGAAGCACTGCAGTACTGAAGCAAGTTGCTTGGAGGCCCATAATCAGACTTGTCCTTTATTTTCCAGATATCTACCAACTTAACAAATACAATATATTAGATTCGTCTACAACTTTAAAAAGTTTTCCTGTCCACAAATGCACAAAAATACAAGAAAACAACAGGGGAACATTTTTATTTGAGAACCATTGTTAATAGTACAAAGCATGTTGGGTTTTAAAGCTCTATAGTAAGCAGCAGTTCAGGATTTGAGACTCAAACCCTGTGATTGTGATACATCAATGGCAATCAATTATTTGTAATCAGATACAGATTCATGTACAGATACATAGTCATGCACAGATACAGATTCATGTACAGATATACAGACTTTCCGAGTAGGATGACCGTGTCAGTCCCTACACCTGAGTGAGGGTCACAGTTGACACGGTAGCCTTCGCGTGGATTTGTTTAAGGTGGATAACAGGTTGCGAATCTGAGACCCACACACTTGGGCATCCGTCTTCCCCAGCGGATCCATCGAGGGAGACGTGCTGGTTCCAGTTGGGATGCTTGCAGTGAGCTGCCAGTGACTTGGTTACGCTCAAGTTCTGCCTTGATCACGCCAGCCCGCCTGGCGCTGCTCTCGTCCGCCAGCTGAAGACAACTGCCGTTGGAGACTTGACCCTCTGATTGAGGGGGGATACGTGTAAAGTGCCTTTCCCAAGGGCACAACGTCGGTGCGCATGTTCGGACATGCCCCCGTGCTCCGACCCAGGTTCAAACCCGGGGCTCCTTGTTGAGCGCCGAGCGCTCTATCCACTACGACACACGACGCCACATACATCAATACACCACTTTTACAACAACCCAACATACCACAGTGTGTAACATTCTAACCAACCTGTGCAGTGGGCTTGGCTCTAGTCCAATGGGATGTGAGCCTGTCAGTGGGCGTGGCTATGAACATGATTGGCAGCTGAGAGCGACAGGAGGTGAACTTGTTGGAGATTTCCTGCAGGTCTGGAGCTGTGTCATTGGGAGATCAGAGGAAAGGTAAAATGAACCTCGGTAGTACATGACATACATTTGGATTCCAAAGTTTTGTTACCACATACATGTATGTATCAGTTTTTCAAGGGCTCACACAGTTAATCATGGCCTGCTTTAATGTATTGTGTAAATGTCCTGAAAAAGTCGTTTTTCCAGTGCAATGGTAGGCTGTCCCATAAATGTGTGCCATAGCAGGAGGAGCATAGTTCCCAATCCTTTTTATGATCCAGAAACATCAGATGCTAATCTGGATAGTGTGTATGAATGTGTGAGAGTGTGTAAAACCTGTACAGTTCTGTCCTACCCTTCAGTTCCCCATTGAAGTTGACAATGAGGGGGTTGACCTTCCAGTCGTGTGTGCTGAGGAGATGGAGGAACCTCAGGAAGCCTACAGCTGGAGATCTGGAGTGCAAGAAGTTTGAGTACAAATATTTAACACATTTCACGTACATGTAGTCATAAAACTGACACAGCAGCAGTGGATTGCTATTTCCTTGACAAAGACTGGTGCTGTTAAGTGCTGAATGGGCATCATAGAATGACATAGTACTGTCAACATAATTCAGCACCACAAATGTACAGTAAGGCTGACTTGAGTACACAATGACTGACAGACATACCCAGGAGGTGTGAGAGGCTGTGGTTGGAGGAAGACATGTGCCACCAGAAGGTCCACCATAACGTCAGGCACGTGTCTGTGCAGGAGCTGTGCCGACACCCAACGTTTGGCCAACCGCAGGCAGCCACTAAAGGATGAGTACAGCTGCTGCAAACTGAGGAATTGTTCATGGATCAGAGATCAGGAAAACATCAATATCAATTACCACTGCATACCTGAATGCAACATGTACCTGTGCCTGAACAATTCAACAAACTAACCAGTGGATTTTTTCCTACATAACATGCTACTTTTAGATTGTGGTATGAACTTACCCATGTAGGGCGCTTGTTAGTCTTGGCAGCATCACAGTTTCTCGCTCCAACTCTCGAGAAGCCACGTTGTCCCTCTCTCTCAGAAGGCCCTCCGTCGTTCTCTCTAACTTCAAGATGTTGACCTCGCGGTGGTACGCAATCACCAGTCGGAACACGAAACCTCCCTGTACACAACAAACCCAACATGGATACTAAAACACTATCATTTTCTGTTCCCTTCATGAGTTCTGTCCATGTTTTACATCCTTGAAAGAATGCCATTGACATATAATTTCTCGTAGAAAAAGAAAGAAAAAAAAAACAGTATTTACCATGGCAATGTCCACATGTCCTGTGGTTGCACTAGTGACCAGACCATGCTGTTTGTGTAAAAGTTCCCCCAGTTTGATGTGAAAAGCAGCTTTCACTCTCTTGATGGCATCAGCTTCCTCTGGCCACTTTCCACTTCCTTCCATATGGCAAATCACTACAGGGATTCAATTTTCATTAAATAAACAAAACAAACAAAACAAAATAAAGAAATGTGATTTCAGTTCATCCAACACTTTTACAACCGAATACATGTGAAAAAGTGATATAAAAATATCCAAACTAGTGGTGTTGTTATTACCTTTCAAAGCTGGCACAAAAGGTGGACAGGGTTTCCCTATGACTGGCACTTGTATGTGACCATGCATCACTGTCATGTCTCTGGTTTTCTTCATTTGAGAAGGGCGAGGAGGAAACACCTGTAAGAATAATGGTATGGGTTACATTTGCAATAAGGTCATGAAAAGTAGTCGGGTATTGAAATACTATTTTCAGCAAACATTTTTTGTACAGGTGCAAACTTCTTGACATTTTACCACACCAATCATTTTCATTGCCTTTAAATTCAACAAAAACAATGTTTCTGAGGCTTTCCTTTTCTTACATCTTTAGTATGTTGTAAATATGGATTTAGAATATGCCTTAGTTATTTTTAAGCTAACAAATTTTATCAAACAGTGATAACGAATCCTGACCTCTGCATATCTGAAGACAGGAGAAGTGCCTTGTATGGAGGTCACATTCAGAGGCAGGTCCTGCAGTCCCCGCACAATCCGACAGAGGTCATTGTACACCCTCATGACTGTAACATTCTCCTCATCACCAGTTCCAGGATGTGAGCTTGGATTTTGGTTTGGATCCAATGGCTGCTCCTGTGGTATATTCTTGCTTCTTTTTCCTATAAAAACAAAGGCCTTTGGCTTATACTTGGTTCAGAATTATATTTCAATAACCAGACACTTCCTCTGCTCCCTTCAAATTCACTTGGAATACCTATGGAATTTATAAAGTACCTTTCTTCCCTTGGGCTTGTGACTTGGGCAGCTTGTCATCAACTGACGGCACAGCAGTGCCCTCTTGTAGGCTGGGGTGGGACAGCAGGCCATCCAAGTGACCTCCAAGGTAGTTGATGATACTTTTGGGGACATTAGCATGTCTGGAATGATACCAAGAACAGTTTAGCTAACAGTTACTGTTAAAGAACTGCAAGAAATACTGCAGTAATAAACAATTCAACACCGAACAATACTACAGTTTGTATGTCTATGTGTACCTGTTCAGGATGTGTTGAATGACTTGGGAGCACACCAGTCTTCTCTCAGCGATGTTGTTTCCCTGCCAGACCACTGCCTCACAGATGGTTCCATCCTGGAACCTCCTCAGCTGAGACTTGTCCCCCCAAAACTCACGGAACTCCGCAGCCTGATAAATAATCACATAATCTTTAAATGATAAATCCAGAATACACATAACCTTAAATGTTGATTGACTGCTGCAAAAATATACATTATAACATTGTTATGTAGTGTAATGTTTCAAAACCAAGGGATTGACCTAGTGCTGGCGTAGGTTTAAAACAGATATTCAATTTTACTACCAGCTAATGTAACATCTAGAGTAAAATGTGACAAAGAAGAAAAGGAAAGTGGGATACAAACATATCAAAAATTTCCAAATTATCAATGACCTGTGGTTCATCTGCAGGTGGTCCTTTGTCCAGCACACTTGAGGAGAACTCGGTATTGAGCAGCAGGCCAAAGGTCAGCCTCCCAATGTCCTTCAGACCAGGAGGGTCATCTCCTATGGACCACTGTAATGATGACATTTGCCAGGATTATCAAATTGCATGTCACAGTCACAATGAATGATTAATGAGACCAGACCAGGGATTGATACAAAGGCACTTGACTGAAAAATCAAGAATTCAACAAAATAGCTACCTGTCCAAGGTCATAACCCTTGACCCCTATGAGGTTCACCCTGTTCCCTAGTGCTTTGGTGAGCAGCTGGAGGATGCTGGGTAGTGAGGCCATGAGGTAATTGCCACAGTGATCCATGACAGCATGCTGCAGATCCATGTGTTCACACACCAGCCGGAGTCTTGGGACACGTGTGATGCTGGAGGGGGAACGTTTCCTCTTGTTATTAGGGCTTCCTTTTCATAACATATACTCATATATGTATGTATGCACAATGTGTTTTAGGCAGGAAAAGATGCCTTTGCCTTTTTGAGGCCGTAAGAGCTGTAAGTTGTCATCCACTGTAGCTTATGTACAGTACTGCAAGATGGAGCCTACCAAAGCTGGGTATCCATTTACACTTAAGTGGAGTGAGGAAAGTCATGTTAAGTGCCTTCCCTAGGAACACAATGTCTAGCCAGGAATGGAACCCGTAACATCTTGCTCTCAAGTCCAAACACACTTGAGCTACAATTTCACCCAAATGCAAATTGCTTTGCCCACTTCCTCATTCGTCTCCCTAATTTACACCAACAGTTACATATATATAGCTTAGGGCTGCAGTTGTGGGGAATACTTACTGGAAGATGTGATCAAACTTGTGTACAAAAGGCACAGACTGCATGAAGAGAACCTGGAACCCATCTAGTGACTTGTCCTCCAGCATGGCCACAGACAACCGTGCTTCATGGCACACCTGCAAGTCATCACAGGACCATTTGACAAAACATTTGAAATACAGGGACAATAAAATGTTTTTAACCCCCTCCTGTGACTTGGGAACCTTAATTACATTTCCTTAAAAACTTATCCTTCAACTTAGAAACACTTGTGCAACATCATTGGTTGTCTTCCTCTTACATGTACTTTACCTATGGACATCTCTATATACATGTATAAAGTCCTTGCTTTACCAACATAAAACCCATGTCATATATGCTTACAATTGCCTGTAATCAAAGTCTTTACATGGACAGTAACATATACATATACACCATGCTATAGTATGATTATAATAATTTCTAAGTGCATCATAAAACAAAACTTTTTGTGTTGTGTAAGAAAGACAATGGATTTCTACAGGACACTAACCCTTGCATACGTTGCTGTTGACATGTCCGCACACATATTCAGGTACCCGGTAGGATCAACAAAGACCACCTGGTAGGCCTGGTGGAAGTCTGACAATGTGGGCACATCTTCTGTTGTTACAGAGCTGGCTAGGCTGATACCCTGGGTAGTCCAGTCTGAGTTAGCTGTACAGTATGAATAGAAAAAGTGAAGTGAATAGTTTCATCAAGTTGATACACAAATGGATTATCAAGTTTGACCACCACTCGCTGCAGTGTTGAATCTTTCATGACAACACACAACACTGCCATCTAGCAGCTTACCCAAGTACTGCAGCACATTCTTCATGACCTGGTAACTGCTCATGGCCTTGCTGAGCTTGTGCACAGATAGCAGGTAGGACAACAGCATGGACATCAGGAAACCACTAAAACAGCCTGGACCCTGAAAAATATGCAATCCATACAGACATCTAATTGTTTTGCATGTTTAAATCATGAATGACAATAACCTTAGGTGCATATATACTGTAAAACTGTGGACATGCACAATTTTTGTGGTGATTTCTCTATCGCAAAATCATCATACCACGAATTACATTTTCTGTCAGAGATTTAACTCTGTGTGCCCACTGCAAACTTAAAACATTGTCAACACCTCATTTTCAATCCCTACCACGGAATTACATGAATTTACGTATAATTTGAACTTGGCAGAGGATACAGTGCGGATGATAACTTGATCTATGTCCTCCATACTGACCGTGTCCAGTTCCCTCTGATGTAGCCAGACCTTGAGCAGTACCAGACCCTCCCTCATGGCAGGGAAGTCAGCTGACAAGGAGAACAGGTGGTGCAGGTGTTCTGTCATCATCATGTCCACCAGGATACTGTTGTTGTAGTGTGGGGTGGGAGGTTCACATTCTGAACAGAGAAACAGAAAATTGATATGGAAGGACATACTTTCAGTACAACACCTCAAAAGTCTTTAGGCATAGGTCTAAAATACCAAGTGTCAAGGATGCATGAGATACAATGTGTCCAAATAGATATTCCATTTACTGTTTCAGTCATCATTAAATAAAAACCACAGGATATTAGCTGAATTGTTCAGGTACAGGTGAAAAAATCCTGTGCCTATAAACTGATGTTACGTTTGGGCACACAGTCCTATACCCAAGCAAGAAACAAAGAGTACATTTTTGAGGAAAAGTACACTGTTTTTTTTTTGCTTAGCACTCAGCATTCATGAGATTGGGAGATAAATGCACTACTTTACCAGTGGACAAACCCCTTGCTGTAGTGGCCTGTGTGGCCCAAGGTGTGGAGATTGTCAAGAAGTATTGTATTGGTACATAGATAGATTTAAGTTCTGGTGCAAAAACAAGACATGTCACCTTGATCTTGACCCTTCCCAGTGTACCAGTCACTGCGGATATTGTTCTTGTTTGGATGGAAACGGTTGGGTTTGAAGAAGCCCTCCGGAGGACAGGCATGAAGCCTGATGGTGTAATGTTTGCCTGCCTTCCCTGCAATGACAACAAGAATGAAAGATCCAGAAGCAAGTAATTTTAGATTGATTATGTATGCACATATCCATGGCAATCAGTCTTGGGAAAATGTAGCTTACACATCAGTAATTTGAGCACATATCATATATAAATCACTGTCATTGATACTGTACACTACTATCTATCTGAAAAGCCTTTTAATTGTAGCATGTTTGGGCACTGGAATGTTGGTTGGCCACTATGCAGCAAAAGTGACCTTTAACCTTACCTGAGGGTTTCAGTAGAAGTACAGGCTTGTTGCAGTCTTGGTGGAAGAAGGTGAAGTTGACACTGGTGAACAGGTCCTGGTTATCTAAACTGGCTGCCAGGTAGGCCAGGTACAGGGCCCTCTTTCTGTGGTACCTGTGGTTCAGGTAGTCTTTGGCTTGTAGACACTCCTGAAGACAGTGAAGAAGGTTGAAATTTTCAACAACCTCATAACAGCGTATTGAATGTTCATATAGTAACCTGAATTGATTATGAGCAACAGATGCCTGATCAGTCTGACAATGATTGGTCCATGTTAGCACATATGGATAAAACAGGATTACGATATCACCAATTCTCTTGACTTAGATGTGTTGGCCAACATGCTTCTAGATGTTGGGCCCTGTCCAGTTGAAAGGATGCTAGAAGTGTGATTTAGTCAGCCTATATACAGTATAGAGCCATCTCTCACCTTTGGAATCTCCAGTAATACGTCCACATTCATGTCAGGTTTGGTGCAGAAGCCGAGCAGATAACTTCCTACAACCTTCATACTGGTGGGAGGGGCAAAGTGGAAGTGACCCTTGACCTGGTACGGTGACTGTTGGATGGGGACCTTGACAGTGCTTGGCAACCATGACTGGTCTGTCAACTGTGGACAGAAAGACAAATTTTTAATCAGAAAATATAGGACTTTTGAGTCTTCTGCTGCTGCTGCTATCCAGGATTTGATTATTCTGCTGCTGGTGTACCTGCCACTGGGGTCGGCAGCAGTCAGTTAGTAGTACTGGTCCTCACACTGAATTGTTATACATAACTGTACTTATTGTTGTGATATTTCAGTTACATCTGTCTTATAATTCATCAGCATTGTATTTGCTTGGTCTATAAACAGAATGATTGTTTTTGTGGATGGAATTTTTTAAAATGTCTCCACCCCTGAAGCATTTAAAAAAAGGCATTAATCTTGAACAAGTAATAATCCAGAAAATAAGGGACTAGTGCTAAGCAGTATTAGAGATGATGATAAAATCCTGATTATAAGTGAATGGTATTAAAATCACTATAACTCAAACAGCACAATCAGAACACTCCCTATAATTATGATACATAAACAATACATAGAAAGGAAAATAGCTGTGTTCTACTTGCCTCTTTGGAGTCAGTCTTTGGGAGTTTCATTACCATCTCATTGAGAGAGTGAAGTATTTTATCCAGGGCTGGACTCTTCTTGTTCTTGGGTGTGACCTCAGAAACTAGTTCCTCTATCTTTGGAAAAAGGAAAATCCTACATTTCATACAAACATGAGAATGAAGCTCAAAGACCTGCATTCTCAATAAGCTGATCAAATGATGATGAGTGTCATTGTACTGTCCATCTATTACTTTTTGTTGTATTTCATTGTAGCAAACATAATGTTCTTCCTTTCACTTCATTTCTACCCTTGTTTCAGCCGAGATAGGGCAAATTTACTTTGCTTAGAAACTTAACTGTCATGAACTAAAATTAATTTACGGCAATATCTATTAGCTCAACGCATGACTTATACTATTGAAATAATGAAAATACAGACTACTAAGAAAAACACTGTTTCCATGTGAAGGTGAACCAACATGTTGTAATGTAATTCATCACCTGCATCCTGAAAAGACTGGACTGGAACAGGTTTTCTGTCTCCTTCAGCTGGTTCATTTCTTCATTAGTGGGAGGCCTGTACAAGTCTGGCTTCCCCATACGGACACTCTTCATAGGGGGTTGATCTGTTGACTCTTTGTCTTATGTTGAAACAATAACAAGTACATTAGTCATTAATAATGAATTATTGGTAACGTTATGTTGATTAACTTAAGCAAAGAAGGTAAGTTAAAGAGCCCAACACACTTATAAAAAAATTGGCGGTGCCCGGTGTGCTTGGCTGAAAATGCAGGCCCTACTAATTATTGAAAGAATGTTACATTTTGCCTTGGTCTGAGGGTATTCCTTTTTATGTACACGGCGGTCAATTTCTAGGGTAAAGTTTCCAATTCTACGTAGGGGTATCAGGTTACCGGGGTTCCACGCGCGGCTTCCGTGGAGCCAGTCTCAACGGTTAACATTCTGTTAAGCAATAATTAACATTTTCACGGGGACTACATTGTCCAAATGTGATAAAATCAGCACTGCATATACCCCAAATGTTGTTGTTTTTATTACAATGCTTAAATGTGGGTGAAATCACTCTCAAAGCGTTGAATGCTTATTCTAGAACAATCGACGTCAATAACCAAACAACTGATTTAAACCGACCCCAAATCTTCCAGAAAATCCCTCATTTTTGCATTTTAGAGAACAGTATAACAAAATTAAGATTTGAGTCGAACAGTTTTCTTTATTTCAAAGTTAAAGTGTTGCTAAGGCCGAAAAATTCGCCAAAAAATGCACTTTTTCAACTTCAAAGACCGATAATTCCA